ATATGGCCCCGGTTGTGCACAGTATATATGTGACTATACGAAAATGAAAATGGAAAATAAAAACACATTTACATATAAAAAAAATTCTAGAATAGAATAAGAAATAACAGATTAAAAACTATATTAAAATTACAATTTTGCATCCAATCTCTCAGTTGCACTTGGGCCTAACTATATTATAATATCAATCCTTAAAATATTAGGCCATAGTCATTAAATACTAAAATGCAAAAGAGTAGTAATGCAAAAGAGTTTGCTACATTGGTTATATAAGCAATCATGGATTAATCACTTGTTTCCGACAAATACCCAATGCTGTACACAGAATCTAGCCACTGCACTCTAATCACAATTTGTTCATCCTTAAGCAGCCAGCCACTGGAGCTAGGTAGTGTTGGAATGGCCAGGATACCTATTGATTATTGGGAGGATATTTTTTCAAATATCTCTTAGAAAGAGTATCGAAGGAGTATGTGTCCAAAGGTCTCCACGTAATACAGTGATGGAGAGCTGCTAGACATAAGAAATCAAAGCTCTATTTCAACTGTAGCACCAGCACTAGTTGGGCAGAGAATCCTCCAACAATGTATTTGGTAAATTTGGTAAGCTTACTCTAGACAAATTATTTATGTTTCCACAGCATGTACAAGGGTAGAAAATCAGCAACCCGCCTGAGGCTGCTGACCACACTTGTCAGGAAGCCCAGCCAATGTGGCTAGTCAGAAGAGAGAGGCTTTCCAGTCGTTGGCTCTATGGCACTGGCTGCGGAACATAACAATGATGTGTATTTTGGTTGTCATCTACTCTTGCTTTTTCAAAAAAAAATCCATGAAGTCAATGAAAAGATCCCATTTCTATATGTGTGTATGCATGTATAATTGTAATATTTTTTATTAAAAATAGATAAAACTAAACAAGATAAAAATTAAAACTAATATAAAGGAAGAAAAAAAGAAAAAGAAATTAAAGAGAAAGTAAAAAGTGCAAGAAAAGAAAAAAAATTGAAGAAAAAAAGAAACAAAGTAGTAATTTCTGATATTCTTCACAGCATCGTAAGTACAAATATATTTTAAACTCTCTTCCTAAAGTTACACATATTACTATTCTTTCTATAATCCATTTGTGTAATCACCAAAAATATAAATCACAAGTTTATTTTTACACAGAAAGTCCATTACAGAAAAATATCCCATTTCCAAATTATGCTCAAGATAGAAACTAAAAGATACTCACTTCTCCTAGCACTACAATCATCTTCACCCCTGGAGTATCCTGGTAACGTAGTACATGATCCATAAAGGTAGAACCAGGATATCTGGGCAGAAAAGAACATTTTTAAAAGAAGTATTTTAAAAGACAAAAATAAGCAAAACAAACATTTGGAACCACCGCTCTTACCTATCTCCACCAATGGCTACACCTTCAAAGACTCCATCTGTGGTCCTGGAGATAATGTTGTTGAGCTCATTGGACATCCCTCCTGAGCGGGAGACGTAAGCTACACTACCAGGGCGATACAGTTTTGATGCCAGAATGTTATCCAACATTCCTCCTGTATTTCCAATCTTAAAACAGCCGGGTTTAATTCCACCCACCTGTCAACAGAAACAAAGAGCTGAAATATCGATCTCTTAATTAAAATAATGTTTGAGTCAGGTCCAGCTAAGGATAGTTGTATCATGAAAACCTTCTCTCATTCCGCACTCCTAATTATCTAATTTACATGTACCTAGTATGAACATGCATAGCACATCTGCTGACATCATGTAACTGATTTTTTTTTTAAAGCTACATAGGGTCAGACCTGGCTAGTGGAAAGGTCTTTAGGGAAAAGGCCATTGAGACTTCCCAGGTCTGTACGTTCAACCAGAAGTTGAAATAACTTCTCAGAGGAAGGCAGTAGGGAGTCAATTCTGAACTATTGCAAAGGAAACTACAATGGTGCATTCAGAAGGGTTAAATGTGACCTGAAGATGACTTTATTTTAATTTTTACCTCTTGTGTGCATGAGTGTGCACACACAGGCACCTTCATATGCTGTCAAGTCAGTTTTAATTCCTGGTGATTGTCAATTTTGAGCAATCTTTTCATAAATAGTTTGTGCTTGTTTCCTCCAAGGGCTGAGAGAAATTGACTGACCCACAGTCACCCAGCTGGTTTCCTGCCTAAAGTGAGGCTAGAATTGACTGTCTCCTAATTTCTACCTAGTGCTTTACACAAAATTGGCTCTCATCATATTTTACATGAAGCAAAATGAAAAAACAGTCATTCTTTGCCCATTATTCTTAAGGTTGTGATAACAAAAAAAAACCCTCATTTAGATTTGGACATTGATCATAGAACACTTTACATTTATCAAAATGTAGACATTATTTTAAAAATGTTTTTCTGCCTTGATGAATCTAAGAGATATTGAAGCAATAATGAGGCAGATCTTTACTCTGGGATTGGCAATGCACATTATTTTTTTGGGCCACAGAGATGATAGCATCTCATATTAAATATGATCTGTAGCACAATATGATGTTTTGTGCTGAAATCTTGGGAAAAATACATAAAAATATACCGACTAGATGTTTAGGAGTCAGTTTTCACTCAGCCATACCAAGAGAAGGAAGAGAATGGAAATTTCCTGTGTGTTCTGATGCTTAAATACTTTGAAGTGCTGATTAATCAGTGATTCACTATCCCTGGTAAGATGCATTTATACAATTAATCAAGGCTTTGTGACAATTTTCCTCTTTAGAACTCTACAGGTTCTAAAATGAACCTGCTGGCACAGTTGGAATACATTTAGTGTGCAGCAAGAAGTTCTCAGTCTGTAAAAAAGGAAAGCTTTTTTTAAAGCCAAAAGAAAACAACAAAGGAAGTATTTTTCTCCCCTCACCGTTGCTGGTCCAATAATCGTGACTCCTTTCTCATCTGCCATTTTGATCAACCTGCGGGTCAAGGCCTCAGGAATCCCTTCTGCAATGATGGCCACTGTACGGATCTGAAGCCCAAGAGGAAAATAGCACCAATATTGATTTCTGGGTGTTGTTGGGGTTTTTTTTGCTCATGAGAAATGGAGATTCAAGAAATGATTCAAATAATATATTTTTCTCAACTTTGATTTTAAGATTGGGAAGGGGGGACACAATGGCAAGAAAAGAAAATTCATCATTCAACCAAAATTGCCACTACATCAGACTTTCCCAGTTTTTTAAATTATGCACACTGTGGAAACTGGGGATGGAAGACAATGTTTAAACATCATAATATGCGAATTTTGAGCGGTGGTGTAATAATTAACGATAGCTTAAAGTTATGTCTAAACATAGTTTGATTTTTTATTTCAGGCTTTCTAATTTGCAGCATAAGTATGGCTAATAGTCTTACGATTATTAAACCTTGATTAACTTTCACCAACAAACAATGGCAGGCAGTTTATGGCAAAAACATGGCTGTACAACTCTTTTTCTCCTTCAAATAAGTATTTCCTTCAAAAAAAAAATCGATGAATTTTAATGCTCCACAGCTACACTATCAGTTGCAAAATCAGCACCACAGTTTTTAAAAAAGTTTAATTAATAAAAAAAAAGTTCAATAGATTCAGTAAATGTATCAAACTACTCAAAAATGGCCCTAGATTTACTGATATCCATATATTTTCCATTATCTGATATTGATGTCATTCTTCTTACAACTACTGAAATCTGTAAAATGAAGTACAGGCTATTTGGGCATAATTAGCGCACACATTAATTAGACGTTCATACTGGTTTCATACTGTTTTCTGTGGTTTCTCAGTTAGACCACTTCTGTATATTTCATACTGCAAACATGCTTCGGGTTTTTCAATAGAAGTGCTGATTTTCTCAAATTAAACAGGATTGCATTACCACATTCTCTGTTCCTTTAACACAGAAGCATACATACAGCTCCATGGAAATATTGACAAATAACTTACTGGCTTACATGGCTACTTGAAAAAATTACTTCAAGAGTTCTACTAACTTTAGAATGTCCTAAATTGTACTAAAAACAAACTTGGTGTTTTTGCCTTGTTATTAAAATATAGAAGAAAGTTCCTAGACTTAGAAACTTATTTGCCACTATTTAATACCATTTTAGTGCTTAAAAAACCAACTTGTTGTAATACTATTTCTACTACTTTTAAAAAGCAACCAGTACTTAACACACAGTATTTTAGTAATTCTTCTAGTATTATTTAAGATAGTCTAAAGATTGTATCTAAATTATTTGAAATTGCAAATCCAAAGTGTTTTACTATTCTATTGACTCTTGAAGAGAATGAAGAGGACAAGAGGTTTCAGGTAAATATGTTATAGGAACATATAGATATTCTATCCAACCAATGAAGAACTAAAGGCCCAGAGAGTTGTCCACCATAGTTTAATTTAAGGATGGGCAGTATAGCATGCTGCCTCACCATCTTAGGAAAACTCACCTCTGTTAAAATAAGAGGCATTTATAACAGATTTTCACAAATAACTCAAAGAGGATTAGTTTGATAGAAATCCCTGCCCATCCACATACCTGAGGGTAATTCATAGTCTCTACGGTGCTATCATATGCTGAGCGGAGAGAGGCAAAGTTTATCAACACATCCACTTCTGGGTGTTTCTTCATGGCATCTGCCATATTCTTGAATACAGGAATGAGTATCTCTTTGTGACCCCAGTAAAATTTTTGTCTGTGGTCACCTCTGTACAAAATAATAAGTAAATCCAATATTAATTTCTTGACTAGAGACATAAACAGTACCTCATTTATTAGTACAGGCATGGGGCTGGGCTTGCTGTAATACATTTACCTAAGTCAACAGCTGCCTCACTTTTGGTGGAACAACAGATAGAGGGAAAATTCTCCTCAGTCTTGCTTTAAACCTTTGAAAACAGTTTATATCCCAGAATTGTTATCTAATTTAGACAACAATCATTTTATCTCAGTATTTATTCTGAATATTGATTTGGTGAGTGTTTCATCATAGTATGCTGATGATTGATAACAGATTTGATCAGATGGCTTCCATCAAGGATTGTAGCCAACTAGAAAAGTGTCAGAAATTTAGTGTAATTGTTTTGCAGTTTTTTTTTCTTTATAGATAGTATTGATAATTGATGCTGCTGGGAACTTTAATACATTCTTGGATCCAAGAACTCTTTATAGAAACACAGGAATTTAAATAGTTGCCATATGAAATTTTAAATTAAATTTATGATTAATCTGGTTAAAGAGATATGTTGGTTAATCACAATTTTAATTGTAACTATAATAATAATAATAATAATAGCTTTGGGGGGAGAAAATTCTAATTGAAATAGGGCACTTAAAAAAGCTATTATAGAAGCTAAATGATCCACCCATTCTTAACATTTTTTAAATTACATAATTACATTTGGATAATATACAAGAAATTCCAAATAAAGAATTGAATTATCCTTCATTACAATATCTTAAGGTTTTTAAGGAGGCAAGCATATTTGTTGTTATTATAAATTTAAATCAATCCAACAAAAAAGTTGCTTTTATATTTACTGGACTCTCCAATGGGTATATGTAAAAGGTTGATTATCATTCTTCCTAGGTTAGAGATGCAATATATTTGAAGATATATTGTGCATATGCTTCGTAGAGCTCCTTAATAGTTCCTTTCTGGGTAGACTTTTTTACTAGTGTGGTCTGAGTTCTTGGAAGTAAAATGCAGTTTATAAATATTAATGTGTGATTAAATTATAGCTCCCAAATCTGGAATTTCTCTACTATGAGGAACTTTGGATATATTATGCTTGGACTGTTTCCAAAAGGGTAATTATGTTTAGACACATGTACTCAAGACTTGAAGAGGAGTTTAATTACATTAGTCAACTCTCAGTCTTTGAATGGGCTCTTATCGATAAAAAGATACATAGTATGATTCTTTGTGGTCAAGATTCCATTTTTTATTTAAAAAATAAGATACAGTTATTTGCATAAAGGTATAACTACTACTCTTGTATCATAGATATTTTAATTTCCCCCCCACTTTTTATTCCATTTTTATTTTCATGTCATTTATCTTGTGTATATTTTATGCCAGTTTGCATAATCTAATTTATATATATATATAGTTGTTAAATTGCTTTTGAAAGTTTTGTATTATCATATCTTTTATTTTCATCTGTAGTTTTAAGAAAATTAGTAGCATTATTATTTTAAAAAAGAATGGAATTTAATACAGGCAGAAGCAAGGTAGTCTGAAAGGAGCATGAACCTACGTGAATGGATAAACCATGGCAGCCACTGAAGGCTCATCCCTTGAACAGACGTAATCAAAATCCAGCATGCCTTGCACAGCCCGAGTCTGCATTCCCCACACAATTGCCTTGGTGTGACGACTGAACAAAGTTGTAGCTTTTCCTGCAAACAGAAAAAAGAGTAAATAACTATAAGGTAGCAATACAATATGGTCAGAAATAAAACTGGTCAGTCACTTCTCTCTGCATTAAAGGGAATGAGCCAGCATACCAGCCATTCGTATGAAGCAAAGCACTGGAAATGAAGCAGCCACATAGCTTTTTGTTTTATATCATCCACAAACCTATAGGTAAATGTATCATTCTTGGCAGTACAACAGGGCTTAAATAGTAAGAGATGTTGGGATGAGTAAGTGGGAGAGGCAACTGTTCATGCAAACAAGAGCATATCTAGATACTACTAAAACTCTCATTATGTTTATGTGTTTACCCTCAAGTTAGCCCAAAAGATTGCTGTACACCACAACAATGTTTGAATCTACTGACTTAAATAATTGTGTAAAAAATATTTATTCATGTGGAATTGAAATTCCCATGGTGTTTGGGCCCATGATGTTTTACTTGCAAATCATGGGAATTTGCAAATTCCCATGATGTTTTATTTGCAAAGTTGCGACCATGCAGCGTCCGTATGGCCCTATGGTCATGATTTCTGATGTTTCCTGTCAACTACCCACAAATAGTCAATGGAAAAACCAGCAGGAAGTCGGAAATCATTCTAACCACTGTGTCACCAAAAGTTAATTATCTTCAAACGTTAATTATCAAAAGTTAATTATCTCCAAACTCTAAAGTATTCCACCAGTGTGTCATGAGAAAACTAAGCTTCAAAAAATTCATATCAGAAAGTTTCTATAAATCAAAGCATCCTTCTAAGAAGTGATAAATGAACAGAGCAGATGTTTTAGTGTGTAGTGTGCAAGTAAAACAGTTATCAAATACCTGAGACAGTGGCAAAAGGAAATTGTTCACCCATGAAGAATGCTTTTCTACCAAACCACAACCAAATGCATTTACTCCAGCACCACCTGCTTAGTAGCATTACAAAAAGTGCTTGAACAACATTCACATTCACACACAGCACCATAAGACTTTTAGAAATACACAAGACTTTTAGAACTACAAATACTCAAGTAAGGTGAACTGAAATGGATCTTTGATTATTTATTATAGATAAAAATCTTAAAAGTACTAGCAGAAGCTCTTTCCATCCCAATAAATTCCAGAAAATTAGTTTTTAATTTCCATTAATCCAGACAATGCTCACATGATTGCCTGAATTTAACAAGAAAAAGCTGAAAAAGGAGGTATGGATTTTTCTGCTGTATCCAGCTATATGTTTAATGTAGCCCTCACCAGTGCCTGTTGAGTAGGAACAATCCTCTTCTACTGCCTAGGGATGCTATATACAAAGATTGATACACTGAGAATGAAGTAAGTATCCAAAGTGTAAGGGAAGGAATGACAGAATGTGGAGGTGGAATTAAAAGAGATCAGACTACAATCCCTACATAGCTATATGGAAACTAAGTCCAATCTCATTTGAATTTCACTACCTTTATCTATAGCAACTTCAAGCAGGTGATAATAATTAATTGAGAAGATTCCTGTGCATAGGCATGATTAACCATAAATCAGTTTTACTGGACTTTCGCATGATCTTTCCGTGCCTGACACAAACCATTCCGCTGTTCCACAAAGCTGGTCTGAGGTTTGCTATTATGAATCTTAAGAAAGGAGGAGAGAAAATCTACATTCATACTGTGTGTATTTTTCATGGAGAAACCCGTGTTGTTGTTGTTGTTGTTTGTGTGTGTATTTGATGTGAGGGGTCCTTAGTGCTCTCTCAGCTTGTTTGCTTTCTTGCAGACGTTTCATTACCCTAACTTATGTAACATCATCAGTGCTAGTAAGGAATGCTGTTTGCTGTCAGTTTATATTCTGGTGTCTTATCCTCTCTGTGTGGGTGGGGGTGGTCTTAGAGATTCTTCGGTTGGGCTTTTTCTGATGTCCTATGGCAGCCTTCCCTAGTTTAGTTATCATCTAGATGTGAGGGCTTCAACTCTAAATATTCTCCAGCCAGTAATTTCATTGCTAGGAATTCTAGGGGTTAGTCCACATAACTAGATAATGCCTAGTTTAGCATAGGCCACTTAAGACATGCTGGACTATAATTAACTTTTGATTCTATAATTTATAGACCACTCAACTCCCAACAACTTTGGCTGGCTTATAATTAAAAAGTAAAAGAAAAAGGCAACAAAATAGAAAGTATAGGACCAAGGTTATTCTTCCAATCATTAGAGTGGGAGTGAAGAAGGATTTATCTGTATGTATGTATGTATGCATCCATGCATGTATTTAAAAGTACTGAAAGTCAAAAGGCAGAGTGGAAGTAATATTCTATGTTTTTTTAAACTTTTTTTCATTTTTTCTATTTTATTTCATTTCCTTTGTTTTTATTTTATTGAATTTTTTAATAAAATTATTTTAAAAGGGCAAATTTAAAATAATGGGAAGCATTGCAGGAGTAGTTATTCTGATAGAACTAGCCACTTGGCAGGTAGAAAAGGCGCCCACTAAAATTAGAGAGCCCACTGTGAAAAAGTGTCATACTAAAAGTAGAAGAGAGATTCAGTAAGATTTAGTGGTAATTAATGTTAAGAAGCTATGTTAGGTCCTTCATAAACTGAAACATAAAAGTGGGAAATGGGGGTGGGGAGCAGGGAAGAAAAGTGCCTTGAAAACCCGTATTCCTAGGAAAAAAGGGGACAGAAATTAACCAAGGCTCACTGCAGAATTTTGCAAGGAGAACATAAACAGCCAAAATAATACAAGCTAACCAAAAACCCAAACACACAAGAAACCCATTGAATAGAACTGCAGAAGCAGCTGATAGCAAGGCTGGACACGCTAAGGTAGTGGTGGGTAGTCCTACCTGGAACACGTCTTGGAGATGGGGATGTATCTGTTAAAGAGAGAATCAGTTTTGCAAGAAATTCGACAATTGGTCCTGGCTTTGGCTCACATTATACTTAGGGAGAGTTTGAACAGCTTCATTTGGGACTTAATATAGTAGTTCTCAAACAATGCCTTTCCCAAACCTATAAGTCTTTGGAATCTCACTGGAGGAAGGGAAGGGGAAAGGTTATTCAATGGAAACACTGATCATGTAGTATAATAATGACTCAAAGTGGGGGAGCTTGTTTCATTATGACTTTTTAAAAACAACAGCCACCACCACCACTACCAGTGGCTCTTATTTTATAATACCACCTTGAAGGGTCATTAGAAGAGACCCACAGGAAGATTAAGCACAGGATTGGCAATGAGAAAATACTACAATAGCCATGGAAATGGTAACTCCTGTCTCAACCTACATATCCTGATACATGCAATAGCAGTTGTTATGAATGCAGCTATGTACAGGTAGTCCTCGGCTTACAACAGTTCATTTAGTGACTGTTCAATGACACTGAAAAAAGAGACATGACCATTTTTCACACTTATGACCTCTGCAGCATCCCCATGGCCATGTGATCAGATGTTAGGAAACTGCTCCATATTTATTAACATTGCAGTGTCCTGGGTCATGCGATCACCTTTTGCAACCTTCTGACAAAGTCAATCAGGAAGCCAGATTTCCTTAACAACTGTAATGATTCACTTAACAATAGTGGCAAGAAAAGTCGTAAAATGGGGGCAAAAATCACTCAACAAATAAAATTCACTTAAGCAAGATACAGTTTGGGCTCAATTGTGGTCATAAGTCAAGGATTATCTGTAGAAAGCTTGTGCATACTTGTATGATGTGTTTCCAAGCAAGTGGGGAGGCATGTAGGCATATAGAAACCTTTTATGTGCACCCACCCAAAATTCATTGTTTTCAAAAACATAGTCTTACATCTCACTGCTGTAGTTAGTCTATAGTGTAAATGAAGAGCATACCAAAAAAAACCCCCACCAAAAAACAGAACAAATAAAAAAGCCCAACCCAAATTATTAGCAAAATGCAGGGATCTCATGGCAGATGGATAGAATTCCTTGATAGACAAAATATTCTTTAAAAATAGTACATTTTTGTCTTCCCATGGATATGCATATTTTAGTTTTCCTGCATTTTTGCAATTTTTCCATAACATATAAGTTAATGAAGAGCAAAGGAATTTATAGGTGCAAAGACTTTTGTAGCATCACAAACCCTTCAAAATATCTTCTCAATTGTCAATTTTTAATGAATATTTATTTCACCTTTATTATTACTTTCCTTTATTTTAAAGCCTCTACATTTTGTTGATATATATTAATATTTTGTAACTGGAAACTACTGATTCATTCATGTTAGGATATTCCCTAATGCTAATATATTTGGCTTCCTCTTCATATCTCTCATTAGCTGCCCAAAATCCACATGAAGGGATTGATGAGTGCCAGAGAGAACATTAGGAACTGAGGCCAAAAATGTTCTGGGAATAATCCAAGAGGAATGCAGAGGAATAGCAAGGTGTCCCTGCAACAGCTCCCAAAGGAAAAAAGGCCAAGAGCTTACCAGGAGATATTGTGTGCTTGGCTTTCTTAGCTGGAGCAAATTCATCAGATTTGCCTTCAGAAAATGATGCAGTTCTGCTTGGTGCTGGGGTCTGAAGAGGAGTAAAATACAAAAAAAAAACCCCCAAAAAACCGAAAACAGGGTTAGCAGAGATGGATGTTATAAGGGTAGGCTGGTAGGTATTATACAAAGTAGGTAAAAGTTCTGGAGAGCAATTTAAAATGTTTAGGAAGAAGTATCACAATATTGTCTCTTGCACATTTTGGTGCTTTATTTGATCTATTATGCGTCTGCAAACAATGGGAATGTAACATCTCACTGCATAGAGCACCAATATTCCTGAAGTCACAATGTCCTCCCATTATTTAAACAGAACTCTATTTCCTAGTATCCAGGCACAGATCAAATAAGACTGAAAGCAGAAATGTGGGCCTTTTCACATCAGCACAGAGGCCAAAGAAGACACTGGATCACAAAAGAGACTTACCGAGGAACTGCCACTGGCATTAAGGAGGAAGTTTGCTGTGTGGGCAGCAGTAGGTGGCTGGTTTGGAATGGGCCGGTGCCCCAATGCCATTCCAACAATGGCAGTCATGTGAGTCTCCGTACCAAAGACATGGATAGGAATGCCAGTAGTTTTTCCTAAGTGCAAAGTGTACAGAAGTGGATTAGCTTTTTAAAGTTTTATTCTAGAAAGTTAGTGAAGAAAAGTGCAAATGTACAAAATAAACCAGTAAATTCTACTGGGTAATGAAGCTGCAAGAATGAAGGTGGCAATTTAAATAGATTAGCAATTAAAAGCTTCAGCAGCCCAGATGGCAGCAGTAGAAGTGCCCTCCAAGCCATCTTATAGTACATAGCTCACTTGCTTCATTAAATATATTGAGTATTCACCCAGTGCTTTCAAAACTGCCCAAGGTTCCTTGAATGATTTGGTCAGAGCTGTCTCCTTACAGTCTGCCTCATCAACATGGCTGAAATTCAGATTCAAATCCAGGCACGTGCAAAAACCTTCAGTTCACTGAAGCATGAATAAAAGGAAGCCAACCTGTTAATGCCCAGTAACAACTGATTTTTAAATATATAGTTTTATTTTTGAACTGAGCAAATGCTGGAGGAGCTGCTGACTTAAGCAGACAGGAACCCAAACGGGGACAACATTATTATTGCTCTTTACACTCCAGTCTGAAAAAGATTTTGCTGTGCTCTAGTCATTTGAGAAAGAAAATTAAGAGCTGTTATTCCTCATTTTGGCTTACGTATGAGAAAGAATAATTTTTTATTTCAGCTATTAGCCTTTCTGGAGGGGAATGGGGCCCCCTATAAATTCAAACAATCACTGGGCATCCTTACCTACTTCCCCCATGACACGCAAGCCTTCCTGGTAATTGGGGCCACCTCTCCTCACGAAAATCCTCACTTCATGCTCCTTGAGAGGTCCTTGATAATCTCTAATGGCCCTAACAATACCCTGTAAAATTTTTTTGTTAAAAAAATCATACAGATAGATATTCTAAACATCAAGAAACAACTCAGCAATTTCACAGAGCGACAATTGATAGGGAACTGTAGCAGTAGCTGTTTTGTTGTCTGGGGCTGAAAGAACCAGAGCACCACATTAGGAAAGTTAATTTCCAAAAGTTATTTTTCATATTTCCTTAATTACATATTTTAATTAATAATGCAGAGAAGTGCACATTTATTATTATCTAAAGCAAAACTAATGCTTAAAATGTCAGACAGTGGATACAAATTCAAGCCTCTCACCTTAACACTTTTAATTTAAGTGCTTTTAATTTAGCTTGGTCATTTTTTGATATAGGGTAGTGAGAATCTCTTGGAAGTCTCAAACAAACAAAGCCTGAACCAAATGCAAGAATGCTGTAAATCAGGGAATAATGCTTTCTGAAGAACAAGGCTTGTCAAAGCCTGAATTTAGTGAATTTGTTTAAATCTATATTTGGGAGCAGGAAATCATGCTTTGAACAGCTATAGTTGGCTTCCAAGAATCTAAACTGGATTTTTTCTCTATCTTTGCAGAACTTAAAAAAAAACAACCCGGATGTGAGCAAATTGGCAAGAGATATTTATTTATAGTTAGTAAATCACAGGTGTTCGATATATTGAAACACTGCTTTGGAAGTGAAGATATAGAAAAGCATTTTACATCTATGTTTTTAGATTTAAATCTTATTTTTTATCATGTTTTTATTAGTTTTATAAGTAACTCAATAGGGAACATACCTAGGTACTCCTTTCTTGTCCAATCTTCCTGTTTCTAGTCTGTTGCCTTACCCACTTGTTTTATTATTATTATTCTCTATTTAACAAATTGAACTGCACTTTATAGCAATCTCATATAACTATTAAGGAATAAGGAACTCACTAGAGTTTGTTGTAATCAATTTAACAAATGGGCATTACAATAAGGAAAAACTGGGGTTATTCTTTGTTAAAACCTTCTATTTTGATTTGATTTATATTATAATATTACTTTCTCCTTATTACTTTTCTCTCTTGATTTGACTTTGTTATATATCAGTACTAATCACCATATGTAATTAGCCAGTTATAAGTTAGCTCTAGTGATATAATTGTTATAATTCTTTCAATTTTAGTTCTTCACTTTTAATTCTTAAGTCTAATACCTTCCAATTAAAAGGTATGATCTGACCTAGGACAATGTAATGTCTAAGAAAAACTATTTGAACTGAACCTATTTATGACTTATTTATTGGAGAATGTAAAACTAAGGAAGTCAATTAAATAGACAAGATCAAAGACATTTGTATAGCTTGATTCATTTATAATATTTACAATGTATTTTGTTATGACTTGTCACCAGTTTGCTCATTAATATAATAGAATTTAAACTGTACTTTGCTTTTGGGTTCTATATAGGTTAAACTATTACTTCCTATTCATTCATAGGAGCAGCCCAATATAAAAATAAAAGAACCCAAACAATAAAAGTGAAGTTGTGTATATCAGCACTAGGTATTATACTGAATATTAAGTACTACGGTTCCATTTCTTGTGTTTTGGCTCAAAAACTGTTCAAGTTCCCAAAAATGAGACTCGCTTCTGCTTTCAGTTCAGGGTTGAAAGAAACCCCAAAAAGGCTGTTTAATATGTGTGGGGCAGACTTTTGACCCATGAAAACGCAAATGAACAAAAGATTTCCATATTACACCGTTCACACTGTATGCGCTCAAGACAGGACGGGGAAGAAAGCACAATCAAGATTGACCAATGCATAGTAACCCGTGATAATAGAGAAAAAAACCATAACTTAACCCTTATCTATTTATGTTGCTAAATCTGTTTACATAAATGCCAGTTGTCTGGGGAAAAATGTATGTTCCAATAATGATGCTGCAGAGATTCTTTTGCAAAAGCTCTTCAAACTACTTCATGCCAGTCCATGCATGGATAGTTCCAAAAGTGAATGCATCTTCCCAAACCATACATCCAAATGGCCATTAACAGGCTCTATGTCAGCACATTTTTTTACCTTAAAAGTGGCAGCTACATTGGTAAAATTAGCAATGCTTCCTCCAATGATTAGGATTTTGCCTTGCAAAGAGAGGAAAAAAGAACAAGTTTATAACAAGATAGAAGATTTGGCAAGAATATACAGAATATATAATCAGGTCTATAGCCATTTAAAAGCATGCAACTCCACTCAGAATTGTAGTAATGGCTCAAATGTTAAGCAATTATCAATACAAGTAGCCCTCGAACAGTGGGCTGAAGTCACAATTGACCCCCCAAAAGGGACTTATGACCCAGAGTCAAAGTTCTGATAGTTGGACCCCCATGAGGTCATATGACAATACTTTGTGGGCATAGCAACACAGCTTGATGTTTTTATGACAGCTTTGCTAAAAACCGGCATTTATTTCTAGTTTTTGGCAAAAACGTCCCCATAGCGAACTACTGGTTTGCTTAAAGATTGTGACATTCGTTTCATGATCGTAGCATTTGTTTAACAACAGTCACAAAAAAAATGTTGTAAAATCGGGTCAGTCATGTGACCGACCCAACTTTTATGACATACGACCATAATGGACTGGCTGCATTGTGGTCATATATCGAGGACCATCTGAATTTGTATCTTTCCCAAATCAATTCTACATTCCTGAATTTATTTGAGAGAGAAATTGATTTTCCTGGGTTTTACGTGTCACTAAATAAAGAGAAGTTGGCAGAAGAAAGCACATCCCATTCCACTGATTTCTTTCTAACAGGACTTCCATTTTTACAAAAGTGCTAGTCTCCCTTCTTTTCTCTCCCGTTTTTATACTCTCCCATGACTCTCATTACATCCAGCCTTCTACATTCTTCAATCTATTTCTTGGTCCTGTTGTGGCCCGCCAGCAGAGCTGGCAGCAGATTCTGACAGTGAAGAGGTTGGGGAGGAACATGGGCCAGTCCTGGAGTCTGGGGAAGGCTCTGATAAGGGCTCTATGTCGGAGGCAGAGAGTTGGCCAGAGCCGTATGCCAGTTATCAGCTGTCTTCAGAGTCAGACATCAATGAGGCAGACGAACAGCTGGAGCGTTCCCAGTGTGCATATGTGCAGAGTTACCAGACGAAGGGAACAGCTAAAGAACAGGGGTCAACTTGGGAGTAAGGCTATAGGTGGATGATGAATGGCCCCTCCCAGAGGAAATAAAAGAGGAGTGAAAGGGGAGTGGAGTTTGCAGGAGACAATTAGTTTGCTTAATTGGCTTATGATTCTCCAAGACTCCTTGCCAAGTTTTGCAGATATCGTCTCTTGAAAGATTTTGCTGGAATGAGCAGAATTCACAGTAGATTAATAAAATAGTTTTTTCTCAGGACAAGGAGTTTGCTTCATGCTCTCGGGAAACCTCGGTCAGAACAGGCCCTCCCATGGTTGCCTTGCATTTGCCCATCTATGTCACTTCAGAGCATCAGAAACCAGGGTGGGGCTTGGAGGAATTGTGGCTCCTGCATTCATTCCAATCATAGAGCAGATCTTTTGCCAAAGGACATCCATAATTAAAGGAACAAAGGGTGCTTACAGCTTCCAATTTGGCCTTTACCTTCTGGGTGTTTTTCTCGTGTCATGAGGGAGAGGATGGTCTTTGCATAATCATAGGTCTGCTGTTCACTAGGAGCTCCAGAGTATTCACCGTAGTTGGCTAGTTCATTCACCCCACCAAGGTCACAAATGGTGTCACTAAATGGAATGCACATGGGGTGTTAAAAGGCATAAATTGTATTAAGTTCTCATAAAAACTGAAGCAACTATTAAGCAGAAACTGAAGCAACTGAAGCAGAAACAAGACCTTGCTGAAGCAATTCTGAAGAGTTATAGTACAGCAATTACAATATTGACATTTTGTTAAATATTTATACAGCCAATCTTTCTAACAGATCTAGGTATAGTTTCTCCCAGCCAGAATGTCTGTTAGAGAAAAGCATGGCAGTAATGTACTTTACTTCCCAAGTATCAGATCATGAAAGACACTGATGTCTGCTCCACTGTTCCCTCTAAGGTGTGGGGCTGCGCGGCCGCACACATGGCAATAAACCCCCGCACAGCAGTTTCTAACAGAGATTTCTACCAAAGCTATTTCTGCTGTGCTTTTGAGGCCGCGGGAGCTAGTAGGAAAGCTGCGGAGGTGGAGGCGGCGGCAGGGGTAACCCAGAGCCCAGCTGAGGTGCTCCGAGCGGAGGGGGAGGCACCACGGCCGCTGTCATGGGCAGGTGCGCCAGCGGGAGAAGAAACAAGAGGACTGGCGGCTTTGCAATGCAACCCCCTGGTCCTGCCGGCCGCGGATTTGATTCGGCGTAAGCGGGGGCCGAACACATGCTGCGCCGACTTTGCGCCGCGTCTTTGCTGTGAAGCGGAGTAATTCAATAACCCCCCCCCCAAAGAAACGTGTGTGTGTGTGTGTGTGTGTGTGTGTGTGTGTGTGTGTGTGTGTGTGTGTGTG